TCTGATGCACAAAAGTATTTTTAGTCTTAAAATGAAAATTACTTTGCATGTTCGATAGGCAACATGCGAAAAAAAAAAAAAAAAGTATGAGAAAAACATTGCTTTACAACTCTTAAGACTTAATAACAAAATTTGATATTTTGCATATGAAAGTATTGTAATGTTTCTTGATAATCTGCCAAATTTTGTTAACATTCGCTTACTAATTTAAAAGTCATAGCATGAAAACTATAACAAGCACAAAATGGTTACAAGGCCGGTCCCAGGGACCGAGCCCATGCTGAAAGAGTTAAGTCAATTAATCTTGTTGTGTAGCATTATAGTTGGACTAAATATGAATATTGTATGAAAACAGATATGCAGTAAAGTGTGGTTTTAGCCATAAATATTAGGCATTTTTGAAAATCATCTTGTTTCATATGATTATATTAAGATATTCAGCTGTTTTCCCTTATATCTGAACTTTGTTGAAATTGAGAAGATGAAGTATTGTTTTATATCATTGGTTAATTACTTTGTTTGTAATAAATGTTCAACTTTGAAGTTAGTTTAGTGCACTAGTGATAACAAAAAGTACAATTTTTAGCTGACTGTTTGGTATTGTATAATCTGAAAGATACAAACAAATCTACTTAGATATGGTCAAATAAAAACAAGTCAGTTCATCATGTTTTAATGACAGAAATTAATGAATCATTGTTTTAAGTCATTAAGCTTTTTAAATATAAACTAATAAATCACATTGTTTAAGCCTAGAATGCCAGCATGAGGTCAATCTAGGATTAAATAAAAATTAATCCTTTTTTGGCCGTTGTTAAGATATGGTTTAACAAAACTCACCATCCTAGTAGTGACTCAGCAGTAAGGTTAAAGGCTTATAATGCTTAAAACGTGGGTTTGATACCGCTGACATCCTAATAGTTACATACACAAAAAGAAAATCACCATGTTTTTAGTCTACTAGGTAGTTGTTTAAACAGTAGGAAATGTAGAAATAAATAAATCATTATGCTTTAGATAATTGTTGGAATAAAAATAAAATTTATCACATCACATAATTTGGAGGATAGTGTTTGAAGAGAAACATGTCCATCAAGTGTTAGATAATTAAGATACTATTTAAATCGAAAAAACATTTTAAGTTACTACTGAGGTAAGTAAAAATTCCAATTTAACGTTTTATGTCGTGAAGAAAGTGTTTCTCTTTTAACAGTGTGATTTGTATTCCACAGGAAATGAGTGTTCGTCAGGCATGTTCTCCCAGGCCCGCTGTTGCTGTGTAGGATCACTTTTATCTTCTGTTTAGAATTAGTGCTGTAGCAGTGAAGATTAGTTGGAATAATTTTCCACCTCTTTATATATTTCTGTGTAATATAAAGGACTGGATTAATATGCACCATATATAGGCCAGGCTTTCTGTCTATACTATCAGAATAACACTACATTGGCTGGGATAAATTTAAAACCTATATTTATTACAGAAGTAGCTCTAGTTTCTGAATAGACTTAAAAATCTATACTTTTGGTGTGGAAGTTACAGTAAAAACAATTGTATTTTGTCTTGTTAAACATTGCTTTAGTATTAGGGAACAAGATATTTCACCTTATTCTTAGCAAAGAGGTCATTATGTATATTTTTTGCCTTGAATCACTGCAAATGTTAGGAAGAAAAATAAAATTTCTGTATTTTTTCCTGAATTGTTCCTAACTCTAGTTTGTTAACCAGGAGTTTTTGGATTTGTGTTACACAACCTCTTAAGGTTTTGCATCGTTACATGAAAGTAAACAAGTTGGAAATGTGAACACTTATATATCAATAACTAGCAATATTTTACTGGGGATTTAGGCTTAATAAGTTGGAAATGTGAACACTTATTTATCAAAAACAATATTTTACTGGGGATTTAGGCTTAATAAGTTGGAAATGTGAACACTTATTTATCAATAACAAACAATACTTTACTGGGGATTTAGGCTTAATAAGTTGGAAATGTGAACACTTATTTATCAATAACAAACAATATTTTACTGGGGATTTAGGCTTACCTAGTTAATTAAACAATAAATAGATCAATTTTAACTTGCACAGAGTTAGTATATATAAACATACACACACAAGAAATATGATCCCAGAAGTGATACATATAGGTTCGTTTTATAGCAGCAATAGAAAATTGAGAAAAAGATTTAGTGATGAAGATCCAGCAATAATTTATTGAAATTAATAAACAATCGGTATAATGTACACACAAATATTCATATTGATATTAAACCAACCTTATGCTTTCTATCTAATATAGCAGAGGGTCATTTCTAATTGAAAAATTAGTTCATTTAAGCAAGGTATAGTTTTATAAATTAACAAATGAAAATCAAATTTATTTCAAAATAAGACAAAGAAACCATCCAAAGATATATTTTTCATGTTTTTAGCTCGCACTTTGTGGTTCATCTATGGAAATGTGTTTTGTTTTTATGACACATTTTAAATGTGAAAACTAAAATGACTGGCAATAGAATTACAGCTCATAGGAGACAACAGGATAATCAAACTGGTGTATTTACACTCACTAAAATAGAAACCTATCATTCTATAGGTATTTGAAGAACTTGTAGCAATCTGCCACAATTTAATTCTTCATGTTGTTAGCCGACACTGGGCAGCTGGTACATAATTCAATAATTAGAGGATAACTTACAGCTCATAGGAGACTATAGGATAACTTACAGCTCATAGGAGACTACAGGATAACTTGCTTATGTTACTGTTGTGGGGCTGACGTTTGAATAATTACATGTTTTTTTAATATCATAAAATCACAGATTGTTCTCCTAGAGTCTAAATTTCATGCTTTGTGTAATAACAGGTGTTTTGTAGGAATCACAGATTGTTCTCCTAGAGTTTGAATTTCATGCTTTGTGTAATAACAGGTGGAGAACAATCTGTGATTCCTACAAAACTAGAGTTTGAATTTCATGCTTTGTGTAATAACACGTGTTTTGTAGGAATCACAGATTGTTCTCCTAGAGTTTGAATTTCATGCTTTGTGTAATAACACGTGTTTTGTAGGAATCACAGATTGTTCTCCTATAGTTTGAATTTCATGCTTTGTGTAATAACAGGTGTTTTGTAGGAATCACAGATTGTTCTCCTAAAGTTTGAATTTCATGCTTTGTGTAATAACACGTGTTTTGTAGGAATCACAGATTGTTCTCCTACAGTTTGAATTCTGTACTTTGTTAATGTATTTTTGATCATTCAGTTGCTCTGCATGTTCTAATACTTGGTTGATTTTCTAGGCTGAACTGTGTCCAATAAATTATTAACTTGTGTATTACTAAACAAGTGATTTAGCCATAGTAATTAAGAATATTTTAACACTCATCTATATTCAAAATGAAACTGAGCCTTCTTCCAAAGGTACAACATGTGTGTATTAAAAACACTAATTAAAGTATCTTTAAATACACTGCTCTGTTCCTTACAATAAAAACGTGCTCTTATAACATGGACTGATCAAATGGATTATCTTACCACCATTTAAGTAAAAATAATCTATATTGCAAGAAACGATTGTTATTGTTTACTTGTCATGGAGATTTTAATGTTATTAAAATGAAAATTAAGAAATTAAATAAATCAATATTTTTATTACAATTTTTCCAAAATGATTCTAATCATTCTAATACCAGTTTCAATGTACCTTGTTTTTTTTTATCAAATTAAATCCAAGAAGCTTCTAGTACTAGAAAATCCTTGGGATAATAACACAGCTGTACTGATGTTACGTATCAAATTTATTGGATTTTTTTAAGAAGAAAGAAACACCAATTCATGAACACCCATACACAATAATGTAACATTTACTAGAACTAAAAAAAGATACAAGTAATGTTTTAGAATTTATAAAGTGTAAATAATACTTTCTGGTTGGAGAGTAAGTGTTCAACTGTAAGTAACAAGCTAAAGTATACCCCCCCAAAAAAAAACAACTTAATATCATTATTAGAATGATATAAAAAATGAATTTAGTGATTTAATGAAAAGCAACTAGAAAGAATAACTTTAAAATATTGCATTGTGTTGCAACAATCTTCAAACAATTATAACTAATTACAAACACAGCTTGTATGAAAAATATATTTTTCTATGAAATATGTAATACTGATTTCTTTTTAAAAAAAAGAAACTAAGAACTTATGTACGTTTGATTAAAAAAAAACTTTATAAAAATGACAAATTCTGAAAATCCAGATTAATACATGTCTTAGACCGTTTTTCACATAACATACTTGAAAAAGCAATAAGAGAGAGATTTCATACTGTGAAACAATAATTTGTGCTACAGACACATGAGTATATTGTACTCTTCCTGCATAGAAAGTGTTAAAACTTTCTGGGAATATCAAACCACATGTCCAGTCATTTTCTTTTACACGACACACTTGAGAAATATATACTGGCCATTCCTAATTTTATCAATTTTCACTCCAAATTATTTGTAATGGCCATCCCTAATTTTATCAATTTTCACTCCAAACTATCTGTACTGGCCATCCCTAATTTTATCAATTTTCACTCCAAACTATCTGTACTGGCCATCCCTAATTTTATCAATTTTCACTCCAAATTATTTGTAATGGTCATTCCTAATTTTATCAATTTTCACTCCAAATTATTTGTAATGGTCATTCCTAATTTTATCAATTTTCACTCCAAACTATCTGTACTGGCCATTCCTAATTTTATCAATTTTCACTCCAAGCTACCTCTACTGGCCATCCCTAGAGGAAATGCAGTCAGTCACCACCACCAACCACTCCTTAACAATGAATAGTGAGATTGACTATCACATTTTAAGCCCATAACTAAACTGGCGAGCATGTTCGGTGATGGATTTTTATCTGGCAGGTCGAGCACCAGGGCCTCACAACACCTTGTGCTAAGACAGAAATGAGTATATTTTACTCTCACTGCATAGAAAATGATAAAACTTGCCAATAATACTAACACTCGGCCCACTCTGCTGTTTATGTAATATACTCAAGAGAATCTGTACAAAATATTTCATACTGTGAAACAAGACCTTGTGCTAAGACAGAAATGAGTATATTGTGAGGCTTCCTGAATAAGAAATATTACAACTTGACAAGAATACTAACACATTATCCATACAGAGATACAGTTAATATTACCGTATTAGGTTTTAACACATTTGTAGTACAGAATTCCAAATATAATAGGAATGTTTGATGTTAACCTTCAAGGTTAAAACTATTAGCTACAAGATTATTGAATGTTACAAATTAAGTTATCATGGAAATATCTTGTTGCTATTATAATACTCGAAATAGGCTTAGTATTATAAACCAATTAAATATGCAAATTGTTCAAGATCTTTACGTTCCTTACAATATCGAACGGCAGACCCGAGTGATGGGACAAAAATAAGTTATCCTGTTTTGGGAAAATTTGTTTGAACAAGTAATATCTATTTAACAAGTAACAAAAAACGTTCATATAAATTTAAAATAGACACACAGGTACTATCCTTCAACTTTCAAGAAAAATATAAATTACAAACTTTTTTTTTTTTACTTCCTTTAACAATATACCTAAAATTGAAAAATCGAAACACAAAAACATAATTTCAGCAACACTAACAAATACTACAGTGAGACATACGAGTGAATCTACCAACATAATTAAACTTGTTACGTTTCTTCTATGAAAAAACAGAACTACAGGTAAGGTATCAAGCCATCTGAATTGATGATACATTTTGCTTTCATCCACAAAAACACAGACAGAGTGATGCGAATACTGCCAACTTTTACTTCTGTAATAAAACATCGACATTTTTTATATCCAACATTTATCTTCATGCTGTAGTGTACATCTGTCAGGCCTGATTAAACAGGATTAATATGTACTTTACACTAAAGTACAATACAAACTTTATATACAAGTATAAGCTGTTAAGGTTGGAACACAGCTGTTTATTCTTCAGCTTCGTCCTTCCACTTGGCAAGTTAAAACTAACAGGACGGATGGATAAAATCAGTCAGGACATTACTTGAAAGATACTGTACAACATAAACAGTTGAAGCTATCACACTGAGGTTCACAAGTAATGTTGCAATTCCCACACTGAAAAAAGGTCATTATAAGAAGTTTTTTAGAAATAGAAAGACACAAGTACACACTACTATACTACCAATGTTTATCTTAAGCACTTTGTTAGAAACATAAAGTTATATGTTCAACAGTACACGGGACAATACTGCCCACATTTATCATAAGCACCCAATGGGGAACTCGCACGATGATCTTTTAGAGCTACACTTGTAGATTCAATTCAGTAATTTTAAAAGTACTAAACATGTAATTAGAGACCTGGGAATCTTTTATCATTTTTTAAGATTCTTTTCTTGTTGCTGATACTAGATTTTTGTTGCATGATTTCCTTTTAAGAGATAGAAACATTTCTTCAAGTCAAGTAATGATACTTTCCACTGCACATGCAATACACAGTGGCCTACCCTATATGTTGCACAATGACTTACAGTAAGTTATTATCAGTCATGCAAGACTTGTTTGTTTTTCATTTGGTAAATGTAATTGTTTCCATGAGCAAAAAATATGTACCAACATAAAATCATTAATGAATATAAAACAAGTTAAAATTAGTTGGATTTATAAAATATAACTTTTTAATAAATTTTAAATAATAAACTAAATCGTTTTTGTATTTTTTTTCATTACAAATTCTACACTAAATCAGTTCGTAAAAAATAGTTTCATTTTCATTAATTTCAGTAGAACAGGCAAAATTATTTCTAAACCTTACTTGTTCCAGGGGGCAAGCAGGTTCAAAAGTATTTTTATCATCCTGTTTTTTACACAAAAAGTACATTCAGGAAATACACAGAATGCACAATGGTTTAGATTCGTTTGTGACAAAATGTGGTAGAAGAATTGCCCATTTTAACAAACATAGACTCAAGTACTTACATCACAACTAGGAGGCAGGCAACATCGTGGATTGGCAGTTGGACAACTTGGGCATGAGCAGTTTAGTTTCTAAAGAAACAAAAAATTGAAGATTATACAACTGGTTTACCAACTAAGAAATCTGAATAACAATAGGAAGTAGTTCTAGCTGAAAACCCAGAGAAATAATCAATAATCTGTAGAGTTCTTAATTTATCATCAGAACTATAAACACAAACATAGTTCAGGAAATCACTCAAGGACAACAGAAAATATAAGCCTTCATTCAACAATAAATCATATTTTCTGTTGTCCTTGAGTGATTTCCTGAATTATGTTTGTATTTATAGTTCTGATAATAAATTAAGAACTCTACAGATTATTGATTATTTCTCTGGAGCCTTCATTCAACAATAAATTTTTTTTAAATCTTCTCCTCTTTGGTCTTTCAACCTTGTCACAATTTTCTTGTTTGAAAAGTCCCTAAAACATAAAACTGAAATCCTTGCAAGTCGATAAATAAATAACTTGTCTGGTGAATAATTGAGAAGAATAAATCAGTAGCATCAACACTACATATTCTTCATATCCTATATAAACATAAATTCAGTGTATTGAATAAAAGACAATTAAAAATATCATACACTTTAAAAGTGTAAATATTTTAAAGTTTAAAATAAAAAATACGATTCTTCTCGTTGATGTTTCCATTTACAAGAGTCTTTGAAGCTAGTCTATTTCCAGGTCATTTCATTTGCTACTATTCTCACAGTTTACTGCACATACACATACTCACATGAGAAAGTATAGTACAAAGAACCTCTACTTGTACTCTAATGTACCTCATGTAAAAAATACCAGCATCTCAATCCCTACTTAACAGTACAAAAACTCCCTCTATGTCTGGTTAACTTTATTAGCCTCAAGTACAAGTTTTTAGTTAGCTGTTTTCTTTTTAAACAATAAAAATTTAAAAGGATACTGTATAAAGAATCTAATACAAAAGAACATACAAATTTGAATTTCCTCACAAGTAAGTTTCCTCCAAGTATATTTCAAAATAAGGCTTTTTTTCTTACCTCTTTCTTTGGACAGAGAACATCTAAACACTGATCCACACTAGGAACAGAACAATCGCAGGTTTCAGCACAGGTACGACACCAATAGCAACAATCACAAGATTCATCTTTACATCCTTCTCCACAAAACCCTCGAGCCTGGGAGTCAAATATACACAGGAAATGTGTACTATGTCACAATCACATTTTCTTATAATTAAAATAATATAGATCACATAAACTAATTAATATGTAAAGAGAACTCATCTAAAAAGAATTATTCCTTGAAACAACATCACACAAGTATTTATACTACTTCCAATGAATACTTTTGTAGTTTTTTTTAAATGTTCTAAAGGAATACAAGCTAACTTTACATATATATATGTAAGTATCCTGTTTACTTCTTAATAACTGATGATTTCCAACATTCAACTCAGAACTTTTATTATTACAATATACTATGATAAAAGTAATAGACGTACAGACGGATGCTGATTCATCTGAAGGTCTTGGGTCCAGTGTCTGTTTTGAAATTGATGTATTACCATTTCGAACTTTGTTTTGTACAAACTAAAAGATCTTTACAAGATCCCTGAATTCTTCTAGCAATTCGTAGATGTTGGTGTAGTGTTTGTACGCTAATAAAACAAACACAATAATAACTATACATACATATGCTAGTTCAATCTAAGTGTAATTCAAACATAATGCTTACAAGTAACCGTTGTCTGACTAACAAGGCAATCATCACCAAGAACAAATAACCAACAATTGCTAAGATTAGGATTCCTGCTGGGGGAACGAACAGACTTGGCCTCACTAATTCAGTTGGGACTTCACTGCTACTCTCACTCTGAGAAAAAGAAACACACAATATTAAATTATTAGCTTGTAACTAATTTTGATATGTCAAGAATATAACTATATTCATCTTTAAACCTTTGAACAATTTCCTAGCCCAATTTTCAGTATTATTTCTGCTTTATATTTAAAGATCTGTGCATTCATAAGGAAAATACAAGAGGAACTACAAAAAATGGAGGTACTTCAAGCTTCTTTTCATGCCTAGTTCAACTACCCATACTCGAAGAAAACTTTATTAATTTGATACACTCATTTAGAAAACAAAAACAGTTTGGTTCTTGTAGAAAACTTGTTCTTTCTCGTAAACTCCCTAAATTGTAATTCTTGAGATATTTTGTAATTAAAAAAAAAGGTACTGTTTCTCACTGCCACTCTTAAGGCTAGGCTAATTTAATACATTCTTTATGTATCATAACAGTAACTTCCTATATATATATCTTCCTTTTTGAAAGTGTCTAACAACAAACTTTAACAATAGATACATCTGTTTTAAACCCTAAATTAATTACAGATAAAATGCAAAATATGTAACGCAAACAGATGTACCAACTTTCCAATCACAGAGATTCATATGGAATAGTGCCTCATCACTCTCAGCAGTTTATAACTTTCCACACATAAATAGTTCACCTCGGTAAAAGTTGTGTGTATTTTGTTTATGAAATTTGTTGGTCTCAAATCTTGTGGAACAACTCGTAAATTTGTGAATTTTGTACATTTATCCTCTTCCTCTCAATTCTAAGTTGAAACCTTCAAGTATAACTAGCTCCACTTTCATATCATGCCATATCAATGTCACAATAAAAAGATAGGCACTGTACATATTTTTTATGTAGTCGCACACTGTTAAAGAGCTTTATTATGTTACAGTAAAAAGCTTCCTTACAAACCTAAAGATATATGTACACAAACTCCTTGGAATCAGCCCTTTTATGTGAAAACTGTATGAATGTATATCATCATGGTCTGGGCTTTGTTGATAAATAACAACCTACTTCAAATTTCATAGAGCCAATGAAATTCTAACACTATCATAATTTAGTACACTATTCTGTTACAGCTACATTAACAATCAAATATTATAACACAACAAATAACTTAATTTTTTAGAATTTTCACATATAAGTTAGGAATAATAATAATACCAAGTGAATAATATCAGTGTGGTATCAAAGTAACTAATTTTGTTATGATAACCAAACAGTTTTGGTGTAATATGAAAATGTGAATTTCAATGTTATATCCGAGCAAGAATTTTACTTTTAGTGTGATGATTTTACTTTTAGTGTGATACCAGGTGATTGATTTCAGAACAAAGTTACAATTCTTTAAACAACAACTATCTATCTATAATTTTTTTTGTAGGTTTAAAAAAAAACCAAACATATAACTCCTAAAATCTGGTAATACTAACATAATGGAAAACATATTTAGCATAAGCTTTTCCTATACTTCTCCAGCTCCCAAATTCCAAATATTAAAATATTTTTTGGAATCTTAGTCATTTGATGTTGGTATTAATCATTTTTTAATTAAAATAAAATAATAATCATATCATTCCACACTTATGAATAATATTTTTATTTCATTACTAATACAAATAAAAAAACCTATGGAATTCAAATTACAGCTTAAAACTAAAATAAAAGTTAAAGAAAACCAACCGAATTTTAATTTTTTTTTACTTTAGACTAATAGTAATAGTCAAATTTCTACATAATTTTGAAGATTATTTTTCTGAAAAATATTATCTTCGTATATAATATTTAAATTTCAGCTTAAAGATAACTCCTTTTTTATGGTCAATCCAAAACCTACCGCATTCATGGAATAAGGGAGAAACTGTAACTGGCAAGGGCCTTTTGGAATACGTTCTTGATAATATTTTTACCATGCCTTTTCACTTTTAGAGTGTCAATTATTCTTAATCGATCCATTAATAGTTTTTATGTCATAAAATGTGTTGTTCTTGTCGACGCTGTTCCTATAACAACTAACTTATACTTTTCATTGATTGTTCATGGGTGAAGATGCATAGTAATATAAGTATTAATTGTGAATCCTAGCCAAGATATCAACAGTCTTCACAGTTAGCTTCTATCTCTGGCTACATACGATACTACTGTAACTTGTGTAAACTACAGCCTACACTAGTTTTTGATTGTAATAGGGACCGTAGTTGTTAAGTATAAATTCTTAAATTTAAACTAGTGGTTATCATTATAAATAATTAATTTTCAAAATCAGCTTTTTAAGAACTTATAAAACAGTCTTTACTTATGCTTCAACACTGAATCAACAGTTCATTTATGCAAATAGTATTAATAATTCTATACTGTTATTAAAAACATAGGCTAGACCTTTGCCATTTTTATATATTTTAAACCCTTATTTATTTTCTTACTCACTCCAACTATGTACAAAATATATTATTAATAAATAAACGATTTCTGTCTCCAGATAATGGAATCCCGTCTTGACCTAATATTTTTAATAAAAATCTAAAATGCTATATTGGAATACCTCTTATTAGAAATCAGTAATAGATAAATTAATAGATTCAGATACAGATTTTTCTGTCATAATCCAGTCCATCTAATGACCTTTGGCATTAACAAAGGATCTCTTGGACAGTGACCTGTGACAGACAAAGGACGGATCTGCAACTCTATTTTTACGAATCTCTGATTTGATATACGTAATAAACAAATTAAGAGGAATGTTATTAAAAATCTCTAATTTAACATAACTTTCCCATGAATATTGAGCTTATGGGTTGTTAGTGTTTCGCCAACTTTCGGCGTTCAACACCATATCTCTAGTGGCGTATTTCTTTACATCATTCAGCGCAGAACCCAAATATGCATGGAACTCTTCCAAAGGGTTGTGTCATAAAGACTATAAACATGAATCAGTATACGTTCTTCTTCAAACCTGGATGTTTTATGCTGAAGTTATTTTAAGGGTTACATTTCTCTGAAGATCTTGGCAGTTTTTGTTTGTTTTTTTGTTTATTTAATTGTTTTTATATCTTTAGGGAACCGTTAGAATATGGAGAAAATTTTAACTTTTACCAGATGCCACATTATTTATCATCACTAAAATAATGTGTATCATAGACTAGTATCTTGGTAGTTCGTCAACAACACCCGCCGTCAATTCTGACCGCATAGTGGATTTAACTGTCACTCTTACAGAATGGAGCGTGTTTTTGCTGCAACGGGCTTCGAACCACAAAATAAACAAAAACTAGGCTCTAAACGTTGTTGAAGTTTATCGTGTGCTCTATAGATGTTTTAAAACTTTTTTTTTTCGTTTTTAAGTTGTGGTAATTAAGTTTTCATTTAATTTCACATATTTCTCTGAAAGAGTCTGTATAATGTAGCTATTTATTCAAAATGCATAACCGAAAAGGTCGCAGAATAAAATATTATTGTTTTTTGTTTTTTTTCTAAAAATTGTAAACTTATTTTAACATATTTTCGATAATTAATACTAGAGGACGACACTATAGTCTTAACACACTATAGAGGTGTCAGGAACACTATGGTAACACACTATTTATCAACTGATCTCTACATATGTCAGTGTATGTAAATATTTTGTTATGGTGGAAATGAGTACACCTAATTATAATGCAGGTTTCGATGATGATAATGAAGATATGGACGACTTTCTGTTTCTTAATCACCCCAAGCAAGGTTCTTCTGGATATATGTTGGGGAATGAAAGGAACAGTGAAGATAATGTTTTACGTTTACGACAACAGGAGTTACTAGAGGAGCAGAGAAAAATTCAAGAGAGGACTTTACAGAGTACGCAATCTTCGTTGGGCCTTATTCATGAAAACGAGCAGATTGGGATAGCCACAGCTGAAGTAAGTTCAGCTATTTTTGCAAAGATATATTTTAATTATTTACTCAAGATAGACTTGTTTCTAGTACTGGTAGGGAGCTTATGAAATTCGATAAGACGTCACTTCTGAGTTCTAATTCTATCATAGATGTGTAATCAAATGAGTTTACTAAAGTTTCAACTTTTAACTTTTATTCGACAGTTGTAAGGAATAAAAAAAAAAAGTTGCTCTTTGTGTTGGTATGCGTGAATGGGTTGGGAATATTTGATACTGTGGTACTGGTATTTTCATTTTTTTTACAGTATATTTCCTCGTTTTGGATTTCAACACAAAACCTTTCACATGTTAATAAGACACTTTTCCACCCAACACGATAATTTCATTCCAGCCCATAGGGTTGATGAGCCAGCAAAGGGCTGTGCCCTCTCTTCAACCATGAGGTGCTTTTTTTTTTAACTACTCAGATTACTACAATCCTAACTTCTAAAGAAAAGTTACAGTTTAAATGCTAACAACCAGCATAATCTTAGAAAATCAGTAGGCCTGAACCTATTATAAAAACAAGTTATTTGCAAATGTTTCTACGACAATTTTAGGCCTGTTGGTTTTCCAATATTTCAATGGCTTTCAATGTTGGAATCTGTATTTTTCAAAGTACTGTACTGCTTATGTAAAGAGGGTTTCATAGAATTTTCTGCCTCTCATTGTCCAGTCTAACTGAAGAGTTTTGGTGTTGAAAGAAATGCTTATTCAGTAGTGACTCGTCACAGACAAAACAGATATGAAATGTTATTTTTACATATCTCTGATTTTGAGCTGCAGTGAACAAATTAAGAAGTGTGGAGGAAAAAAAGAAACATCTGCAATTAACTTGTTTTTATAACAACAGTAATCTCTGATCAAAGCAGTTTGGAAACTTACATAGATCATAACTAAAAATTAATCCTTGGTGAGTATAGCTAAAATAATATACTGTTGTTATTCATAAAGGTTATATCTAAGAAGTATAACCATAACACTCTTTTTTCATTTCAAAGTTGTGTATGCAAGAGAATTAGTACTTTCCATTAAGTGAGTAGAATTTGTACTTTAACAATCATCATTTAAGTAAAACTGGTATTTGAAATATTTTAATTTAAATTTTAGATTAATTTTATGTTGTATTTAGTGTGTAAGTATAAAACTGGTATTTTTCTTTTGTTTTTTGAGTGAGACTGAACCAGTTATTTATGAAAGAAATTGAAATCTAAGTGTGAATAATTTTTTGTTTTGAGTACATAAAACCTTCAGATACTTGTATGTATAATTATTGTATTAAATTATCCTAGATATTTTTAATACTTAGGTACAAAAATTTCAAATTCTCAGGAACTTGATAGACAAGGAACACAGCTGCATAATGTTGAAAAAAAAGTAGACGATATCAACAGAGTAATGAGAGTCAGTCATCAGCATATCACTTCTATGAAGGTAAGTAATATTCATAGAAGTAACCTATATGTATATTTTAATGTTAAAGTTAGGGTTTTTTTGTCACCCTAATATTATAAAGGTTTTTGAATTCACCACTCTACTACAGCATATTTAGCCAAAAAGTCAGCAGTGAGCAGAAACCTCTAATGCCAAGCCTCAACAAAAAATAAATTCTGAAGATTGAGAATGATGCATCATACAAGTGATTGTCCTAAATAGTTTTATTCATTTGTTTTTAATATAAACAAATTATAAACACATTCATCTTAAATATTTCATTTAGTTAGCTCAAGGTCAAAAGCAGAAAAACTAAAAATGTATTGTGTAGATAAAATATTTCTTCTTAAGTATGAGAGATGTATAGCATTTTTATTTTCCACCTACTTTTAATCATAAACATATTGATTAGTGTGCCACCAAGTGTTCATTGTTAAAGGCTAATGTTTTACATAGTTATTTATTGAATGCTTTTCTAAAATGTAAAAGAATTTATGTTGCTGTAGTAACTAATATTTTCTCCAACCATAAATATAGAATTGTATGATTTGATTAATGAACTTTCTTTTCTTCAATTTTCTGAAGAGTTTCTTTGGAAGCATCAAGAACTACTTTCGCGGTTCTACTGAAACGCAAGTGGCACTTGATGAACCAGAAGACAAGAAGCCCACTGTCTTGATGTCAACAGTTGGCAAGATCAGGGAGGACCACGCTGCTTCCAGCTCATCATCACATCCTGGGTTAAGGATGCGAGGATTAGAAGCTTCGGGATTTAGTGAATCAGTTGATGATACCAAATTCACAGGCACAACTTCGGTCATTCAAAAATCAGCTGATACAGCTTACAGTACAAGGTCCCAAATGTATGAAGAAAATTTTAACAGGAATTTGAGTAAGTTTTCCATATTTAATTATTATCTTCTTTGTTGGCTTTATACCCTTTCCTAATGTTTTGTAGAGATATTACATCATAATTGTAATTTAACTTTGAAAGTGAATGTTTAAGACTCCAGTAAACATGGTTACAGCTTATCCTTCCCCACTATCCAAGCCATATTATGTTGCTTGTATTTGAAAAAGTGGAGTGAAAGAGTCCTTAATTATATCATTTTATTACATGTTGTTATAAGTTAGATTTATATTGCATGTCATCACAAGAAATGATTTGTTATATTAGTTATTGTTTGGAATTTTTAAGTTTCAATTTGGTACTCAAAACTTAGATTTTAAAATTTGCATGAACTGAAATCTCTTGCATTTTGTAGCTTTCATTGCTAGGTTCCTGTAAATTTTGTAGCTTTCATTGCTAAGTTCCTATATATTTTGTAGCTTTCATTGCTAGATTCCTGTATATTTTGTATCTTTCATTGTTACCTAGGCTTCTGTATAGTTTGTAGCTTTCATTGCTAGCTAGGCTCCTGTATAGTTTGTAGCTTTCATTGCTAGCTAGGCTCCTGTATAGTTTGTAGCTTTCATTGCTAGCTAGGCTCCTGTATAGTTTGTAGCTTTCATTGCTAGCTAGGCTCCTGTATAGTTTGTAGCTTTCATTGGTACCTAGGGTCCTGTATAGTTTGTAGCTTTCATTGCTAGCTAGGCTCCTGTATAGTTTGTATCTTTCATTGCTAGCTAGGGTCTGTATAGTTTGTAGCTTTCATTGCTAGCTAGGCTCCTGTATAGTTTGTAGCTTTCATTGCTAGCTAGGTTTCTGTATAGTTTGTAGCTTTCATTGCTAGCTAGGTTCTTGTATAGTTTGTAGCTTTCATTGCTAGGTTCCTGTATAGTTTGTAGCTTTCATTGCTAGCTAGGTTCCTGTATAGTTTGTAGCTTTCATTGCTAGCTAGGTTCCTGTATAGTTTGTAGCTTTCATTGCTAGCTAGCTTC